AAATAGAGCTACGAGCCAAGCAAGGTCTTGATGCTATATTATTAAAAAATAAACAGTTCATTACGACATACGACATAATATTATTACGACATACGTTTTTAAAAAAAAATAAAAATATGGTAATTTCGCGTGATACCTCAAGTTTCGAAAAAATTGATTTTTATAATAAAATTTTATAGTGCTCAAAGAGATCTATAGTTTCTGATATATTTTAGCAATAGTTCCGGTCTTAAAATATTTTTAAACAATTGTTTAATATAAGCACTGGCACGCATCACAAGAATAAAATATACCTCTTAACAGCCAGTTTCAGCCGACTTTTTGTCATTCTCCGATAGTTCTGCAATATAATTCCGACGCTTTCTATAGATTTTCCCCAGAATTCTAATAAATCGGTTTATGTCCGCTAAATTGTCCACTATAACTGGTGCATTTATTACACGAGCAATGATAATGAGATACATAGAGATACATATAGACTTAGGACGCTCCTTCACAACATTGATAACCAGATGGTTCGCAAAACTTATACATAATATATCACGCGTCAAATCGACATCAATGTCACCGAGGTGATTTCGAGTCCGATTAGTGCAAGTCCACGTCGTTTGCATAATGCAGGACTGCGCGCTTGACGTTCGCTTTATGGGACAATGCGGAGCGAGGGATATACGTATGCAGAACGGTGCGCGAAAGTACGACACTTTCGCTCCCGTTTGTCCGTTCTCAGCGAATATACGAAATTTCATGCGATCGCTCGCGAAGGCGTGCATACGCGCGTGCTTCCGACCGATCAACGATCGGCCGCTGGTTCGGGTCGGCTCGTTAAAACTTTGCCGTAAGTCGCTTTAACCTTGGCATACCGTAGCCGTGTCGACGCGTAGCGCACGCGTTCAGCGTTTCATTTATCCTTCCCTCTCTTCTCGCTCTTCTCCTTCTTTCGTCAAGCCGTTCCCCGGCTCCCTCGCGAGGTACGCTCCTGTCTTTTCTCTCTCTCTCTCTCTCTCTCTCTCTCTCTCTTGCCTCCTCGTCTCTCTCATCGTATAGTAGGACAGAATTGCAGTAAGGCCAAGGGCGTGCCGAGACCGTGAATCACGCAGCGGAAAGGGAATTAAGGAAATTGTCCCTGAAATCGTGTAATGAGGCACAAACTCTCCGTCCTCTCCCGCTACGATCCGATCGTCTGCTGTTAAAAGTCTGTACGTGACAAGGATTTTTGCATGGCGCCTCCTTAAAGGCCACAAACTTTTGCATAACGCTACGTAACGCATAAAGCATAAACGAATCAACTAATCAGAGTCTGAAATGAAGGACAGCGTTGCAACAAATTCCTTATCTAAAAATTTCATTTCCCTGATTGCCAGACAAAATTTCATATTTTCCCTGATGCTTTCAATGATATTTAAAATTTTTTTATATTTTCGTTTGGATGTAAAAAGTATTTTGTTGAGAGAACAATTTAACGTAGCAATGTAAATTACTGTTAATGTTGCTAACACTGTTTGTATTTAATTGTTAAGTTGGTAGTATTCCAAAACTGCGAAAAATATACGTAATATTAATTTAATTTTCTTGAAAGTAAAGCATTTTTATTTTTTTTCAGAATATTTTGTAAAATTCTTGATATTTCCTTGATTTTCTAGTTTTGTGGCAATCCTGCTAATGTGCTATGCAGCGTTTGGACGGAAGCACAAAATCTTATATATAATGCATACAAAAATAAAATAAACCAATCAAAGTCCTCCATTTCTTTTCTTTCTTCGAAATAAAAGATTCTGACTGACTGATTTTCTTACGTCTTATGTGTTATGTATTGTATGCAAGAATCTGTACTACGGCCTTGAAATCGGTTGGTACAATAAAATATAGAAGGTACCAAAAGCATAATATCGGACCAAGAAAGACGTTTAAAGAATTTCGTCAATAATGGCATTCGTGAATCGTTCACAATCGCGTACAAATTATTCGAAATTCTTTCTTCGCGAGATTTTTTTACGTAGAGAATAACTAAAATAAATTTACATGCTATACAGCTGACAATTATGACCGACTAAATCGTTCACGTCAAAACACGCGACGATGAGAGAAAGAAAAGAGTGATCCCCACGGAATTTCGTATCTTTAGCTGCGGTATTTTTGCGCGCGATGCATGCCTTCACTCGAATTGCTTCAAACACGCGTGATATATCCGTGCGATTTAACGATCTAAGAAGAGATCGCTCGTAAAAGCCGTATGTCGTCGCGTGTCGATTTGACTCATTCTCATATGTACATAGGCTCGTATTTCCAGTAACGATAACGTTGCTCTGAAAAATTCGATGTAATATAAAAGACCGCTCCTATCACTAAATGCTTCGCTGATTCTCAAACCGACAATCAAGAAGAAGATTATCGCGAATACATATACAGAGAGTAAAATATATTAAATTTTAACAAATATTTATTTGAATAGCGCCAACTAAATATTTACTTACAGTAAATAAATATTTAAATTACATTAATCGAAATCAAAGATTCTTAATGTGTCAAATAACATATAGCTAAGTGTATTTTATATTTTTATACTTTGACTCATTTCTTTTTATGATTTTCATAACTGACTCTTATATGCCCTTTTCATTAAATAAATATTTATTCGATAAAAAAATGATTGTTAAATAAAATGAATAGTTCTTGTAAATATATCTTTATAATTAGTAAATATTCAGCTGGTACTATTCTAAACATAATAAATTTGTTTAAATAGTATAGTACTAGCTAAATATTTACCAAAAATGTAAACATTTATTATTTGATCAAGAATCATTAACTTGATTTGATGATCGTTTCTTTTATTTAGTAAATATTTATTCACCATAAGTAAATGTTAAGCTAGTACTATTTAAACAAATATTTTTTTATTAAAATTTAGTAAGTTTTTTTCAGTGTTAGAATTCGAATTCAAGAGAGAGGCTCATGATTGTTTAGAATATCATGATAAAGAACAAAAGCAACGTGTCTCCTAAAATATTATAATGAAAAAAAAAAAAACAATTCCTAATTGCATTATATTTCCAATATTTATTCAGCTTGTGTTTACAATCCACTTATCTATTAATTCAATTAAGGACCGAGTGCAAATTCGTTCTATAATATAATCAACATTTGCGTTTCTAACCGCACTAATTGGTGGCTATTAATAGGGAACGGTATGGGAAAAATTATTCGAGCGGGAGGTCTACAAGAAGAATAAACGTGTTCCGTGTTATACGCTGTCAGGCCACGTACGCAGAAATCGAAATCAGATACTTCGGGACATATTGTTTAACATTCCGACTCGCGGCGGAATTCACATACCGTACTTTGTCAATTGCGTGAGCGACATCCGATTACACCGCGCGCGCTCGTTTCATTTTCTTCGTACTCGCAATGTATCGTTATTTAAAGCCCAATTACATAAACCGACTGCTAACGTCGAGAAACAATAAAGCTCTAATTTGACAAAGATGCGATTGTCTCAGAAAAAAAAGAAAAAGTACATAAAAGTTATAAAAGAAATTCTCTAAGCCATTATCTCAATCAGTTTTACAAATAAAAAAATGTGATAAATTTTTAATTTCTTTAACAAACAGATTAGATGAATAAACGCAACGTTTTTAAAATACAATAAATAAAAATAATTTGATTCTCAATATTTAAAATAAAATTAATAAAGAAAGACAACTGACTGAGAGCCGACACTGCAATTATTGTTAGGGTATATAAATATTTTAATATAGGTTTAAAGTATATATTTATTCCATTTAAAAACCTATTAAAATATATACATTAATAATAACTGCGGTGTCTGCTTTCAGTTGCAACATTTTTATTAATCGTTCAATAGACATGTATGATATCAATAAACACATGAATTCCCCCCTCTTCCCCCAAAAAAGTTTCTTTACTAAGATTATTAGATAAAAAAAGTTTCTTTACTGTGATCATTAGATAAAAAATTAACTATTTTGTACAATCTTTAATGCCAATAAGTCACATTCCTCACACTATTGTATTCAAAAGAGGATCGCTATAAATACTCTCGGTCATCTCCTTTTCTTTCCATCGTACAATTAAATTCAAGGGTTATAGGTTGTGCCATTGACGTTGGAGAAATCCGTTAATTCGGCCAAAATTCCTATGGTAATCGCGACTATTTGAATTCATTGTCATCATCGACACGCGCGCGCGCTTGCACGCTTTTCGCCGACTTGCAAACAAAAATTGCGCAACAGCGGCCAGTAAACAGACGTTTCAGCGTGATTTCCTGCACGCTGGAATTCCAGAGACCAGCCGTCATCCGAGCGAGTCTCGGCATGCCGTTCCTTTTCTTCCTTTTTATCGCGCGCACGCAATAAAAAGAAATTCCCAGAAACATCAACGCCTAACCGTATACTATCTCCACCTCCATTGCCCCGCTTCTCTCCCGCACCGTTCCTCTCTGCTTCGTGGATATTTGTGCGATGACGAGAGCCACTCCGTCATTAGGTGATCCATGACGGACGCTCCAATTCGCAACCGAAATTGTGCAAGCCCAACGAATGGTGTTTGTTCTACGGCGGATTACTGCGAAATCTGATGGCGCGTTGCTAACGATCACCCAAGGTTGAGGAACATTCTTTCTCGCACGACACTCGTGTATAATTTCGATAATTTCGTACGAAGCAAACGCACAGCCATTTTATTCGTTTCAGAAATTTTTGTGTTTTTTTCGTTTCATTATTATCTTGATGATAACAAAAAAATAATTGACAAGTGTCAAGGTCGTGTTTATATTCAGTGTATAAAAAAAAGTTCCAAAAAGTAATTGTTGGAATTTTGTTTTTAAATTGCATTTTAGTATGAACTCAAAACTGACTCTGTTGCGAAAAGTGGTGAGATTTTTTGTTTTTTTAATACGAAAAATGAGAAACTTGTTTATTTTTATATATAACCATAGAACTATAAAAAATGCTACGATAATTATTTATTTCATGTTAATAGAATGTTGTGCTAATTTCACAGATTCATTCACGACTCAAGTTTCTTAATCGATTTGATGTGGTTTTCATGAAATTACTTAATCTCAAAGTATTATAATTTGGCCAAATTGTGTTAAAATTGCGGAATTTTTCATTCAATTTGTTTTTCTGTTCTTCTTTCTTTGCACTTCTCACATAAAATCTACATTACTATTCTACAACTTTCTTAATTTCATAAAATGTTCATTTCCTTGTAATTTTACTTTTCCTTCTGTATTCTATTTTTTTAATTTATAGATTTACAAGCGTATTTTACTTTTTGCGATTAAAACTAGACAACGTGAAAGAATAAATTTCAAATTTGTCGAAAGATCCGTTGTTAATCTGCTAGGAATAAAAATGGTGACTCAACAATCGCACCTTGTTCTGCGTTATAATTAATGAAATGGAGTAAATGAGACACAGCATTACGTGATGAATATTTAACGGGCGATTCACGCAAACGCTGTTTCGATATAGCGAAACAGAAAAACGGCTCGCAAACATACGCGCGTTGCTGGCGTAATTAAGTTGAAACTTCAGCCATAGATCAAGGACGAGCCACATGCCGTTCCTATAATTCCATTGAAAAGAGCTCGTTTCCTCTCTGATTCTCTGTCGTGCTACACACACAATGACAATCATCATATTAGATCTAACATTGAAATAAGTTATTGAAACTTCACATAAAATGAAAATGTATCGCAATAATTAAACTATCAAAAATATTTAATCAAAATTAATTAATTAGTTCTTATAAAAATATTAACTACAACAGTAAAATATGCATATAAAAATCTATGAAATTTAAACAATACGAAAGATACAAAATAAAGAAAAAATAAATTTTTTGTAAAATTAATAAACAAAAGTTGCAAAGTAAACAATCAAATTAAAATAAGCATAAAACTAAAAAATTAAAAAATAACAAAACAAATTCAAAAAAATTTATATTATATTATGACGATGTAAAAGACTTCAAAAATTAGACAATTCTATACAAAATATCACTCAAATGTCAACGTTAATTGACAAGGGTCTTCAAGGTAAAAGAAATTTAACACCGAGAACTTTCAACACAAGGAGAACTTTTAACGAGCTTCTAATACAGGTTCACGACTATATGAAGTGATAACAGCTAATAACAACAGGTCCATTTGTACCACACAGATAAGACGGGGCACGGCGCACGATCATTCATTAGCTGGTTATCGATGTACACCTCATCGAACGCATTCACGAGGTAATACATTTACGACAAAAAAACAAAGTTACGAATTTGCACTTCATTATCATTGCCGGTGTACAGTTATAATCACAGAAATATAATACACGAATATATGGTTTCAATTTAGAAAAATGTTTTTCGATCATTGTAAATTAAGGAAAATCGTTTATATTACAGAAAAAGTTGTAATATTAAAAAGATAAAATAAGTTCTGTATAAAACTAAAAAATTAAAAAATGAAAAATAAGAGCGCAAATATGAGACGAAATTGTTTTTCAAAAAAATTAATAATGCATGTGTTTGGATAACCTCTAATTAATCATTATTAAATTATCTTCATTAATTTGTCTACATTAATTATTTTTAATTTTATAATTATCAATGAGTATTAATTTGTCATCAACTTAGTACAATGATCTCGATATTATTCTGTATTAATTCATCGTCAATTTATATAACAATTTTTAGTGAAGGGAAATGTATATATATATATATATATATATAACTGAACAATTTCCTTATTCAAATTCGATTATTGTGACATGAATGTTCGCAGGATAAGACACATTTCCTGCTGCGTCCATGAGATTCCTAGATCATAATCCGTCGCGTACATACCTGTGCATTGCGTATAAAGGAAACAATAGGCTCATGAAACAGATTACAGTAATATTCCTGTCGCTCACGATCGTTTACGAAAGAACGCCTACACGAAGTCTTTTCGTGAATGACGCAAACCGCAATCTAATAGCAATGGAAAGTAGAAACGTGCTGTGTACGTTAGGAGACAGAAATCAGAATCGTGGTAAAATATGAATTTCGAACGTTATCTAAACGCTTAGCCTGTTCCTTAGCTAGTACCAAATAAAAGGATCTAGAAACTTATCAATAAAGTACATCAAACGGACAAATTACATTGACAAGCAATTTAATAATTTGATGGTCAATCAGGCATCCTATTAGAGACATGTTAATGTGTTGAAAATTTATAAATAAGTTTATTGCGAAAAATATTTATTTGCAAATTTTCAGTATATTAACATCTCTCTAATAGAATACCTAATTGAGCATCAAATTATTAAATGGTTTGTCAATTTAATTTGTGATATTACTACCATAATTCAGTTGCGTTTCTAAACCCGAAAAATCAATTCGACGTGCAGTTTAAATAACTACACATATGTAGTATAATAAAGTCACACGGAAATTATTTAAGCATCTATGATCTTGCTTCAAACGTTATACAGACTTTAATTCTTACTTGTATATTCACGTTATAATGTCATAAAAATCATTCATTATAATTTTATATTTTCGACTTCTGCAGAAAATTAATTGGAGGTCTGTACATTACATATATATATATATATATATATATATATATATGAACTGATGTTCACGCAATTTAAGCAGTAAACTTTTATACTGCAGTAAATATTTTAATACAATCAATAAAGAGTACTCAAATAGTTTTCTACACTTGCACATGTGCGTTATTTATGACGGAAGCGTCCGAAACAGTCGTAAAAAGCCTAATGTGAATGTTTAAGACAACGAAAACTGGCGTTATTTAATTAAGAAAACCATTCGTATGTGGATGTTTCTTCCGTAGTTAAGTGAGCTGAAGAAAAGTCATAAATTTACCACGCGGACGTGTTTTCGCGCGGATATACATTCCATTCATCCTTCGGGACGTAATCTCTTGACGCGAATATATGGGATGACATTTAATGTCGCATTGGCCGAGCCTGTTGGTGTCACTAAAACGTATATTTCTGTAACTCTCCGTGAACGACGACGATAATTCTATACGGGATAATAGCGTATGAGATGAAAGACAACGTCATTACAAGGATCGTTTAAATAGCCAAGACCTATCAAAAACTTTTTATTTAGGAATTTCTGGATTAATGTAAAGATAAATATTGGGGTTCTCATAAAAAAGCATCAATAATTCTTAAATTGTCAGTGATTGAAAATAGAAAGCTTTTCAAAAACTAAACTCTAAAAGAATAAATGGAAACATATCAATAAAGTTATCCTTTTCATATTAATTTAAATTACATTTTAAATGTAAAAAAGTTTGTAATTGTGAAAATTAATCGTAAAGATACCTGAATCAGAAAACTGACAATTTGTGTTAAACTTGACACGCATTCGTTAAGAAAAAGCCCAAATTAATGCAAAAATTAACGAAACAAATGAAAGATGGCTGGTTAGAAATCTGGAATATTCTGTATATATAGCGAAGTAATTATTCGCGCAAATAAATGATGCCCATTATAATATAATAATATCTCGGAAATTAAGATTTACGTTCACGTTAAAGCGTAGGCGCTCTGGCAGCGAACGGCATTCCCGTCTTCGCGCTTCGATGCACCGGCCAACACGTTAAATTCCTGAAATGTTCCTCTCTTAATCCACTCAACTTCGAGGTAAGGACTTCAAGCGATAATATGCATAGATACATAATAGACGAGTTAAGGAGCATCGAGTGGCTTGCCGCTCAGTGCGATTGACTCGCGATCTGTAGATCCTGTTCGATCCCATCTACGCCTATATACGCGATTTTTCGCGTTTAAGAGCCGAAAATGGCTCCATCTAATGATTAAGAAAAGTCACCAGCGCCGTTCAGATTCGGCGTTAAACTGTAGGTCCAAATTATTAAATCTGAGAGTGGATAAATCTACTATTCGAAGAAATAATCAAGCTGAACCTCTGCTCCCCGAGGAGGTTATAAGTTATAAAGCTAGATCGCAAGATCAAAAATTAACGTATTGTACTATGACCCAATAAAAGGGTCGGAAAGTTATACAGGGAACTATTAGGAAGAAAGGAACAGAGGAGTTCCTAAAGATTCCGAACAGTGATTACTATTAATAGTATCACTAGTAATTTGATTAATACAACTACTAATTCGTCTCAAAGTAGGGTAAAATTGCTGATATCGTACTGGCTCTTAAATCGCACTACCTCGCTTAAAAATTCAATTATTGTATTTATATACTATTTTACGGGTTATTTAAGAATTACATGGTACTGTAATGTCACTCTGTTATACTCGTGACATGAAATACAACAAGAGTGTTATTTACATAAATAAAAAAATCGTGATAACGTTGCTATTTTTCAATGCATTTCATAGCAGAATTACAGAAAATATAAGTTAAATAGCCTAAGTCTTGACCATTTGTGATTAGAATATTATTAAAATTAAATTAATAAGATTAAAGTTTGCTTTACAATTTTTTATGGATAAAATAAATAAAAGTTTAAAAAATGTAATTTCTTAAATCGCACGATAATATAATATTTCCTACCTCGCACCACAATCTAACTTCTACTCAGAAAAAAGACTATTCTTAAATCAATACCATAATATATTCATATATAAGCAAAAATATTATAATCTTGCTTCAAAGATATCAATCTTGGTTTGATTAAATTTGTTTTGATGCAAGTATTACTTTGCACTTAATTCAAGACTTGCTCAATTAAAAATCTTATATCAATACAAATTCAATCAAATCAAAATTGATATCTTTGAAGCAAGATTATAATATTTTTGCTTATATATGAATATATTATGGTTGATTTAAGAATAGTCTTTTTTTCTGTATAAAATCGCACGTTACTCAATATTTTTCCATTTCTTACATTTTTATTCCATTCATTATTATGTAAAAATGTACATAGTAAATAAGTATTTTTTGTTTCACGTAAAAACTTCTTAAATTACTTCTTGAAATTATCATGTGTGTTTCAGAAATTATGAAAAATATATTCTTAAGTTTTTAACAGCATAATAAAATACAATTTTTTCCTTTTCATATAATTTTTAAATTTTTTACATTATCATAATGTTTTAAATGAGGAATATTGGTATAGTCCGATTTTTAGGCAACGAACGTTATTATAATAGCGCAAAAAAATTATGAAAAAATTATAAGAAAGGGAAAAGAATGCAGTTTATTGTGCTGTAAAAAACTTGATAATATTCTTCATAATTTCTGAGTTATGAGCCTTTAAGTAAAAAGTGGTGCTATTTCGGCAACCTTACCCTACATTATTATTTGATATTGGGATTACTTATTCATAATTTCATATATTGTGGAATAAACTTCTACGATTTTCAAAAACAATTTATTTACAATGTCAGAAAAATTTACAAATTAATATTTACTTTTGTTGACAAAAAGTAGTTTAATAAAAAATTTGTTTTAGAAAAGAAAACAACGTTTAGCTGCTTCAACTTAATATTTTTAGATTATCAACATAGATATAATCTCAATCAAATATAAAATTAAATTAAATCAGAATAGAATTTATTTTAAAAGAGACGCTATTTTCTCAGAAAACTTTTCTGTATCTCTGCTTTTATCTCGATATAACAGTTACTTTCAATTTTTTAAATGACAATACAATAAAGATTTTTAGAAAGCGGTAAAACCCTCTGCGCAGGTAAATACTAGAGGAAATCTCCCAAAGTGCGTGACTAAAGACATAATATTCAAGTCAGAATACACGCTGGTAGCGTGAAATAACCCTGAATGAACTCATTCAGCCCTTATCTCCACTATAAGAAAAGAAATAAATTCCTGCTTATAGAATTCCTGTTCATGCTGATGAATTTTCTGCTTGTAACGACGAATTCCAAATTTAAAAAAAAGTTTTTAAGACTCGATTTCACAATATACGGTTCTTTAAAGATTAAAGGTAACCAAGAAATTCATGAATAAATTTCATTGATGAATCTGTTGGTAACTTTTTGTTGGAACCTTTAGGTAACCATATATTGTGAAAAATGAACCTAAATGATTCAGAGATTTACAAATTCAATAAATAGAGAAAGGAGTAATAAGTCTAGTATAATAAAAATGCACAAATAAAAATTGTAAATAAGAATAATTATCTAGATGTTTTGATTTAAATGTTATTAAATCATTTTCAGTGGACAAACAATAACTTACATCTAAAATATAAATTTGTACAATCGTTGGTGAATCGTTAAAACGGTTGTCGCTCATCGAGTTAAAAATGGTCAAGATTTTTAACTACGGAATTTGAAAGTTCAATAATCAATTAAATCTCCTAGCTTATGTCTCCTAACCATTTTTTTTAATTGTCGCACCACAAAAATAGAAGAGAGAGGCAGTTATAAAATGCATTAAATATGCCCCCAGCTAATTTCTCCCGCGAAAATCGCGAGAGTTCTGGAAGAGAATTCTGAAGATGAGAGAGCCTAATCGAGAGAGAGCTAGAGCATGCCTCGACAGGTGTGGCAGTGTCCTCTCGTCGGGGCTAAGGTGAAACACGGCCCTGAATAATGCGGGCGCACGCGTTTATGCGTGGGCATGCGGTTCGTGTGCGTGGGTGCCTCTTCGGCTACCTGGCTCAGCCCCAAGGGTACTGCGAGCAATCGAGCGAGTAAAGCCGGATCCACACCAAGTAAAGACAGCGAATGAACATGAATAAATTAACTTACTTCGATGAATGTAAATGGCACTGTATCGATTAATGCAAATACGAGCAAATATTAAATTTATCGACGAATACAGTCCAATTGTTGTCGATATATTAAAAAGAACCGCCTTCGTAACAGTAAAACATATTTCGTATTTGTGTTGAAAACCATCTATTCAAGTCCTTGTTAAATTTTGTCTTGAATTTGTAACATATTCATTTAACATAATGTAATTATGCTATTTAAATAGTTTGTGTTAAATTGATATTCAACATTTCTTAGCGTCAAAATAACATAATTCACGAGTAAATGAACAAATAACATTTAAACGTGTTTTAAAACGCAAATTCTAAGATAAATGAATAAGCAATAAATAAGAAATGAAGTCTATAATGATCGAAGCTGGATCTTAAGTGCTTTCAAATTAAGTAATTCCGTGCAATTATTATACACGGAATTATGTAAAAGCATTTAAGATTTATTGCAACTTCAACCATCATAGACTTCATTTTTTACTTATTGTGTATTCATATTATACGGTCCTAATGAATGAATAAAATATGTGTTCATTTAACATATCATAAATGTTAATTTTACTGAAAAAATATATGCTTCCACGATTTGTTTACAAACTGTGTTGATACACAGTAAAAAAAAAAATGTTAATTTTATATAACATTTTTTACATGTCCCAGGAGATCCACTCTAAATTTTAAGTTAAAGTAACTCATTCGTCTTGTGTTATTTATTAACGAACTAGTAATGTTAAATAATTGACACAATACTAAAAATGTGATAACACAAGAAAAATTCTACAGATGGACGCACGATTTTTTACTATGTATTAACTTTTTAATGTTCATTTAAAAAAATAATATTTATGTTACCTTTTAACATATTCATCTTGTGTTAAATTAACACATAAATTTAGGCACCATTTAGGACAGGTGAAATGTGTTAAATTTAATATAAATTTTCCAACGGTGAAAATGTTCGTTTGTAATTGTTCATTCGCGATTGTTCGTCCTGATTGGCTAGTTGGTTTTGATCCAATATACATTAACGAACGCGTGCACGTATACCGAGATATCGTTCACGTTTTCGCGATCTTGCCTTGTAGACGCGACGTAGCGAGACCATCTGAGCGAGGCGCGATCGATCGATTGATCGATCGAGATCGCGCAGCTGAAAGGTGAAAATGAGGCGAAACATGATACTGACGAAGTTACTGGTCCGATAAGGAAGAAACGCGCGGCGACGGGAATTTATCGTCTAGGAATGCTCGCTGCGCATCTGGAACGAGGTTGAAGCATACGCGCGAAGCGCGCTTAACACGCCGATCTGCTTTGCGTACGCGCGACGAGGCGCGACGCGATCACGAGCGTTTATCGGAAATTGGCTAAACCACTTCTAGATCGGTAATCGCATGATTTCCGATTAATTTTCACAACTATCCAGGATGTTACATTTTCCGTTATCTTTAGTGTGAAAAGATGCGACATGGCGCTCACGATGCGAACTAAATCATTTTTAAATCAATAATTCAAAAATTGCCAAAAATAGTTACAGTTTATTTCTTATCTACACTGATATTGTAAGAGAAATGTTTGGTATAAATAACCATGATTTTGTTGATATGTGCATGATTCGAATCATTAATAAAAACGTTTTAATTCATAAATTGAATTATTCTTAAAATTTTATTATTCGAATCAAATTTTGATTAGAACAACGCAATTTTTTAATTAAAACATAACAAAATTTTGATAATTCATATAGCACACGCAAATTATAGTTTATCATATCAAATGTCTTTCTCAGTGCATATCTCAAGTCTTATAGATCTATATCATGTCAGAGTCGGGCAAAACTGTAATTCAATTAACAATTACAAATTGCAATAGTTTTGTATCCAACTCTGTATCATGTCTTAATAAATTTCATTTCCGTACACGAAAAGAATGATTTTGCTGAAAGATTAAAAATATTGCTGGATACAAATCTAAAAACAATTATATTGAAAAGCAAAAAATGTTAATATTCTAGTAATGTTTTAACGCGTTCGGAATCTTTTTTTAAGTAAATGTAAATTATTATCGATGATTCGTATAAAAATTAAAAATTCTAAATCCATAAATTTTCTATAGAAATATTTTACGTGCATAGCAGAAACATACGCAAGTGTGGATCTTCGTGGTCGTCGTTTTTCGATATGCAACCGACTAATTGCATATATACCCATATATGCAATTGACAGTGGTTTACGGTAAGGCGCGTAGCTGCATAAAACGTAAATTGTAATTGCGGCTAATGACAGTTTAAAATATTTTTAACATGAGCGTAATGGCCGTTTTGTCGAGGGACACGACTGGTTTCGCCACACAGCGTTTATGCCGGGGCGTAAAGATTCTGAGAAGAAAATAATGGCATTCTCCACAGGAATCTCCGTTTGCCTTCGGCCTCGGTTATGCGGCCGTGTCACGACGCAGGAATGTATTGAATTTCCAAATTTGGGAACACTCCTGCTCCACGATCCGTGCCATGGCTTCGGTCACGCGTGTATACGCATGTACGTTACAATACGCGACATACTCTCGCATCCATTCGAGCGTAACCCGCGAGAGTGTTTGCGTCGCGAAACACGCGTTCAACGCTTCGACTTAAAATAGCGCGACATATTTAACAAATAAGATATTTCTTTAAATGCATATCGAATATCAGGATATGTAGATTCGAAAATGAACACACGAATAAATCTTTCGTGATCCGTGAACAAGTTTACATCACGAAACACACAACCCTGACGTTAAATAATGCGTGTGTTGATAAAATGCGATATCTCCTTGAATACGTATTAAAGAGTCAGCTATCGAAATTTCTTTTCGAAAGAACGAAATGTAAAAAGCGTATAAAAATAGATCTCGTGTAGAAAAAACTTTCAACTTTGTATGTAATTCTATGTAAATTAAGAAAAAAACTTTAAATGTGATATAGATTTAAACAATGGAATAATCATGTTGCGCTACACTTGATACATTTAATTTTATTATACAATTTCATTTCCTTTTTGATTACGGAAAAATTGCAACGCATCGATCCAAATAAAACACCCTGCACGGAGATAAATAGACAGTTTTACAATTCTAGTAAAAATATTAAAAGTACATTACAAATATAGCAAATCCATTCAAGTGATTATCTTACAGCAAAGTAAATTTTGTCAGTATTAAGGTAAAAAATAGTCGATAAAGTAAATTCTATTAAGATGTATGATAATTAAGAAATATTTCATAAAATTTACTTTACGAAATATAAAAAGTACTTTACAGTATAGCTATGCAAGATCATTTACCAGAAAAGTAAAGTAAATTTTACATAAGGGGACCTATCCATATACAATATATAGACCTGCCAATTCCATAAAATTTTCCAGAATTCTAACGCTTATGTATGCTTTACATTATTTTCTCCGTGTACAAATGTCTATGTACATCAACACTGTTAGAAATGTAACCACGAGCTTCCTTTACATGTAAATGAAGCTGGTGGTTATGAACGAAATTAAAAGTAATGAATGATTTAACTGAAAATTAA